TAAATTAGATTCAAATAGTGCAACACCATGTTTATTCGGATACAAGATTATTCAAAGGTATGGATATGGGCTTTATTGGGTGATTTTAATGCAATCAAAAACCTTCAGGAGACCTTGGGGATGCTAACAACTGTAATCAGTCTATGTATGATTTTGACAATTGTATTCAAGGTGCAAATCTAAGTGACCTTAGATTCACAGGTCTTCTTTACACTTGGTCAAATAATAGGAATCCTGGACAGTGTGTGGTAAGGAAACTTGACTGAATCTTGATTAATGATGCTTGGAATCAACTCTTCCCAAAAGCTATGGCTGAATTTCTCCCACTTGGTCTATCAGATCACAGTCTAGGCATTCTCAGAATGGGTGTGTTTAGGAAAATTAGGAAATGTCCATTCAAATTTTATAACCACCTCACTCATAGAGATGACTTACAGCAAATTGTCTCTAACATATGGACCAAATCAGTTTTGGGCACTCTTTAATTCCAAGTTTTCACAAAGCTGAAAATGCTTAAACAGGCTTTCAAGGATCTAACCAAACCCCAAAGTGAGAATGTTACCATAAGGGTTCAAGCCTCTAAGATGGAGCTTGACAAATGTCAAAGGCTTTTAGGCTCTTTTCCTATGAATGCAGCCCTGAGATTTCTTGAGAAACAACTCCTCCAAGATTATATTATTGCAGCAAAAAATGAGGAATCATTTCTAAAGTAAAAATCAAGAGTTCAGTGGCTTAAAGATGGAGATCAGAATTCTGTTTTTTTCTTCAAAACCATCAATTCTAGAAGAAACAGAGACAAAACTCTATCTATCATCAGAGTAGATGGGACTACATCCAATGAGCTTGAGGAGATCCTGCAAATTGTAATCTATCATTTCCAATCCATTCTTGGCAATAGTTCTTCATGTGCACAATACAGGTATAGGGAGCTTCATAACCTTCCATGGAGAGACAACTTTTAGATGACCAAGTATTGCATTTTTCTATTCCTGTCACTAAGGATGAGATCAAGAGAGCTACTTTTTCTATTCACCCTAACAATTCCCCAAGTCCTAATGGGTTTAATGGACATTTTTATAGAGCTGCTTGGCCTACTATTGGTGAAGATATTTGTGCAATAGTCTTGGAATTCTTCACTAGAGGTCAATTGTTGAAAGACCTAAATAACGTCATCCTTTTGTTAGTTCCTAAAGTCCCTAACCCTTCTAAGATTGAAGACTTTAAACCAATTTCATGTTGCAACACTCTTTATAAAATCATCTCCAAGGTTATAGCTTCTAGAATTAAGGAGGTGCTATCTGATATTGTTTCCCATAATCAATCAGCTTTTGTACCCGAAAGAAGGATAGGGGATAACATTCTCCTTACACAAGAACTTATGAGGAATTATCACAAGGATATGGGATCGCCTAGATGTGCAATAAAGGTTGATCTAACGAAAGCTTTTGACATGGTTGATTGGGATTTTATGATCCTCACTCTTAGGAGATTTAACTTTCCATCTAATATGATTTCTTGGATCCAAGCTTGCATCACAACACCTAGATTTAGTATCAACCTTAGTGGGGAGTTAGTTGGTTTTTTTCCTAACAGAAGGGGTATTAGATAGGGCAACCCTTTTTCCCCATATCTTTTTGTCCTCATCATGGAAGCTCTTACTTACATTCTTAAAGCTGAAATTGCTGCTTCAGATTCTTTTAAGTACCACTGGAGATGTAAGGGACAAAAGGTGGTAAATTTGTGCCTTGTAGATGACCTTTTCCTCTTTTATCATGACTCTCTTCCCTCAGTTGCTGTGGTAAAAAAGCACTGGATAAGTTCCAATCCCTGTCTGGTTTGAGTGCAAATGCAGTTTAGAGCCAAATCTTTATTTCTGGGATCCTTGAGACACAAAGGGACCAAATTATTTGTTGCCTTGGATTTCAGTTGGGACAGTTTCCTGTCAAGTACTCGGGTATCCCACTCATTTCAACTAAGCTGAGGCCAAGAGATTGTGCAATTCTATTGGACAAAACTGAAGCTAGAATAAAAAATTGGAGTAACAGGTTTCTCTCTTATGCAGGTAGGCTTCAACTTGTGAAATCTGTTCTATGCAATATGCAAAGCTACTGGTTAAGCCATTTGATCCTTCCCAAGAGTGTTCTGAAAAGAGTTGAGCAGTTACTAACTTTCCTATGGTCTGCAACGAGCAAAAAAAAGGAGCCTCTAAGGTGGCTTGGGAGACTGTCATTAAATCAAAAGAGGAAGGTGGCCTTGGGCTAAAAGATCTTCATAGCTGGAACAAAGCTCTAATGTTGAGGTACATCTAGTACATTATCTATGACAAGGAAAATCTTTGGGCTAACTGGATCAGAGTAAACTATCTCAAGATGAAATCTTTTTGGGAAGGTAGACCACCTCAGATTTGTTCATGGAATTGGAGGAAACTCTTGAAACTCAGGTACACAGCTAGGCCATTGCTTCTTCACAATATTAGAGATGGTAAAGCAACACACTTGTGGCATGATAATTGGCACACGCATGTGCGTCTTCTTCTTAAACGGTCGGAGAGAATCAGTGAACTTGCAAATCTGCCATCTACCACAAAGGTAGAAACCATTGTTAATGGTACCTGCTGGGCATGGTCTTCTTGAGGTACTCCAGAGCTGCTACAAATTCTCAATTCTATGTCGTCCAATAATCCCAACTCTCTGCATGCTGATAGAATTAAATGGCTCCCTGATCCTAGTGGTCATTATACAGCTCATTCAGTATGGAAATCTATTTATACCTTTGGTCCTAAGGCTCCTTGGCATGGGCTTGTATGGTATCCTCAATACATCCCTAGGATGTCTTTTGTTCTCTGGATTGCTTTTCATGGGAAGTTTGGAACGAATGATCGAATCAAGACTTATATGCAAAACATTAATACGACATGTGTGCTTTGTAGACCAACAAAGGAATGCATCAACCATTTGTTTTTTGATTGCCCTTTCACAAGTGAAATATGGAACAAGGTGCTTAGTCATTCTATGGTCTCTTGGTTCCGCCCATGTTGGTTATCAGCTATCCACTTAGCCTCCAAGTAGTGGAAAGGGAAATCCCTCAAATTCATTGTGCTCAAACTCAGCCTTTCCAGTTCTGTCTATACGCTTTGGAGAGAAAGAAATGTCAGTCTTCAAGAATGAATTCAAGAATGCAACTACCGTTTTGAAGTTCATCCATTAACAGTAAACTTCTCATTGCCAACTTCAAATAATCCAGAGGGAATATTACTTTTCTCCTACATTGGAACAATTTTGTGTCTAATGCTTGGTCCTCTGATCTTCCATCATGAATGCTTGAATGCCCCAAACGACAAGGTAAAATAATATATTCTGTTGAAGAATAAATGGTTCATGTAAAAAAAATTAAATTCATTTATACTGAAAAAATGTTTTATAAAAACACAAGCCTAATAAAAAAAAATTAAAGCCTCACTTCAAGGAAAGTCCCATAATTTATAAGTGTGCAGTAATAGTCCAAATAAAAAATTTAAATTCATGCCTAAACAAAAGATTTCAACTCAAATAGATTGAACATTTTAATTTAGCCGTAAAATTAAAAGATCCTAAAATTTATTATTTAAAAAAAAAAGAAAAAAAAAACTAACAGTAATACCAAAGCTATTAAAAAATTTAGTCTTATTCCCCAAAAAAATTAAGTTTAAAATTACCATCATAACTTTTTCAATCATTTTTTCCCTTTCTACAATCAAGTTCAAATATAATAACAAAAGTTTAAATATAAAATTTTAATTAATATTTTTGTATTTATTAAAATTAAAAATTAAATTTATTATTAATATTAAAAATAAAAAATCTCATTTACTATTTTCATTTTAGGCCCCAAAAAATCTGAGGCTGCCCTTGATTATTAAATCAACAAAAAATCAGTCTAAAATTTATAATTCAATATGATATTCATATTTTTTGTGGGTCTCATAAACAGGGTCTTCCCAAAGACAGATGTAATGTATTGGGGTTGTGCCCCTACATGTTGTACTTTTTTTATGTGCTGCGGAGGGGCGCCAAGTTTGTCTCAGTCTGACTACATTTCAAGGGAACTTGTAGATTGTGGACTCTCTGACTAGCTTTCAGCTTTTTCTGCATTTGATACCACAGTGTGTTAGGTCTCTCTCTCTCTCTCTCTCTCTCCAAAAAACAAAAAAAAAAAGAGCTTATCACTTATTATGATCTTAAGGCTCCAATCTTTAACTATTTGGGAAATATTTTTTGTACTTAATTTTATGATTTTATTTAATAATATGATAGATCATAGTCAATAAATTGAATAAATTCATATTGAGTTCTAACAAATAATAAGATATTTTGTCAATCTAATAACAGAGAATGATAGGGTCACCAAATAAAATCAAACTTAGTTTTTTATAGAGTTTAATATAAATTTAAATGTCATGAGTTCGAATCTTGATAATTTTTTAAAGTCAATTCATAAAGGATTATTCATGTCTCTTATAAATATTTTAATCCCAGTACAGAAAGCCTGTCTTTGACAAAACCAAAGAGAGAATTAATCAAATTACACGTAAATTAATTCGGACCTCCTGGCCATTTGAACCATAAAAAAAGAACAAGAAAAAGATAACAATATTCCTTCCTGCTCTCAAGCCTCATGCCATTGATGTGGGTGTAGTGGTATTCAAATATGGAGGCCATTCTATTCAACTGCCCAAAACATACACTTCACAAAAGGAATTTGCCTTATATTACACTGCTCATTTGGATTTCAAAGACTACTTGCATAAAACAAAACATACAAAATTGGGGAATCTATCATCAATATTTTCATAACCTTAGATCAATAACCCATCACTTTGCACTGAAGATGATCTTGATCATTTCCTTTGGCCAACATCTGATAATTAATCTGAGGAAACTGTACAATGTTAGCGATAAGATCTACGATGATTTTTTAGTTTTTCTCGAGGTACTTTTTCGTATGTGAGTGCAAGAAAATAATCAAATTGACTCACTGAACCTAGAGGAAGTCAATTTGAAGTCAGAGCAACTTGTTTGCCTCATCAACAATGATGAACTAAAACCAAGCATAGAAGTTCTCAAGTCAAACTCCAAAAGATTGTCCTCTAATTGGTATCCCCCTATGACAATTGAAGTTTTTGGACTCAACCCACCATCCAAGAACCCCAAGCACATCACCTCATCACTCACCATCACCATTGAGTTCCTCCCATATATCTTCCACCTGACCATCTCACTTTGCAACACAAGATCAATCACTGGCACAGCCGCCCCGACCAGCGTGTTATCGATTGTTTTCGAGTTAAAACAGACCCCAAATGGTGCTACTGGTGCCACCCTAGTCATGTTCATAGAACTAGCAGCCATGATATAAGCTCTAGTAAATGTCTCATAGATTGTGCTCTCAAATGTAGTGTAAGGAACAGTTGTACTTATTTTTGTCCCTCCACGGCCTTGTTGGTCCACCGATAACAAGGATGAATTAAACGATAATCGCTTGCCCTTAATTCTAATGGACTTCACATTGATGAAATACTCTTCCAACCTATGATCTTGGTTTGAAACAAAGGGTGTGTAAACTAGTGTCCTCGAAATGTCGGTGCCGGAAAGCGAGACATAAGGACCACCACCGGCAAAAATGGCACCATCTGATGAGGATAGGCAGATTGCAAATTTCTTTTGGAAGTCAAATGTGTTAGCAAGTTGTGAAGGCAATGCAATTCTGGTCTTTGCAAGGCCTAATATACCTTTGACACCAGAGGCAAGGCCTCTTAGAAGTTGTGTAGGTGCACATGAGAAGAGGAAGTGATGAATGGTAGCTACTGAAGGATAGCCAATCCTATGCCAATCTGCAAGTTCAACTGCTATGGTGTCTTCTGCTAATTCCCCTGATGTGACCACTCCTGTTAATTTAGGGGTGTCAATTTCAGCCATTAAAACAAACACCGAACCCGAAAATAATAAATAGATCAATTTAGTTGATACTGTAAAATGAAAATACATATTTTTCAATTTTTTTTCTTTGTTAGTAGCAAGATTATCGGCCAGGGCACGATACAAACTGAAATGACAAGTCAAATACTACACGACTTAAACACAAGGAGTTGACTATAATACCGGAAAAAAAGATTTGGTATCATATTGTGCCGTTATTTATCAAAGTTGTGAACATTTTTATTACTACTAGAAAAATAAAAGTGATAAAAAATAGTTATAACATTGATAAAAATACTTCATAAAAAAAAACACCTATAAAAGTGTTAATCTTTTTACTTAAGAAAAATTGTAAAAATAGCTACCCACAAAAATGATAAAAAATACCGATAAAAGTGATTATTTTTTTTGTACCTAAGAAAAATAGTAAAAATAATTACAAAAAAAGTGATAAAAATATACATACAAGTGAAAAATTGCAACTGATAATCTAGAGCTTATTAAGTTGAGTTCGACTGAAGTTGTGCCACCATGGGAGATAGGTACTTTTATTGGTGATATCCAGCACTTCTCTAAGGTTCTTAATTTACGTTTTTTATACAAGCTTAGAGCTCTTAATCGAGCAGCTCATTGGGTTACAGCCAAGGTTTCATCCAACTCAATCCCATTGGATTGGGGGCCCTGCCTGCCCTCTCTCCCTCTCGAGCTTAAGGCTTTATTATCTTTTAATTGTAATCACATTTATTCTAAGTAAATGATATCTCTACATAGTTTTATCGTGCAAAAAAAAAATAATAGTAAAAATAGTTACTATAACAATAATAAAAATATTCACAAAATTAATAAATCACTCACAAAAAATAATAATTTTTTTTTCTAAAAATACACAGAAAAATAATAAAATATTCACAAAAATAATACATTTTAGACGTATCTGTTTGGTACCATAATCAAGTCCTAAACATAACTATGACACAATTCGATTGAGAGGTTTACTTGTGATGGTGTTTTCTGGGTCAAGGAGACAATTCTTGGTGTCATGCCCTGCTGGTGTAGCACAGCAATTGACCTTCGCTATTGAGCACTGGAGTGAGCAACACTTGATGGGATGGTGAGATGATGATCCAAGGCCTGACTGATCACAGTTTATCCAGAGAAATGGAGCACCAAGATCAACAAGAAGCTTGAGTGGAACAGGGGGTGTGCCCATGTTTAAGTGGGTCAAATACTGGTGGGTTGAAACATCTTTGGTCACTTGAAGGAAGACACTAAGTGGGAAATCAGGAGTCTGAGCAAAAGTCGAAGTGATGAGGAAAATGAAGGAAGAGAACAGAAGAGGAACAGAGGAAGCCATTCCAGAGTCCGTGTGTGTGTGAGAGAGAGAGAGCTGGGTATGTAGGTGTTGGACTGTAGTTTTACATTGTTGCGGAGAGTTGACGCAGTGGGCTAAGAGTTGACGAGATGATGATCCAATAAAGGCGTGGAATGTGGATAAGGATTTGGCATTTTGATGCTTCTGCTGACTAGACATTGTCCGGCTATGTATTCTCCATGGATCGAATGTTTTATTCGAATATGACTTAAATTTGAATTTGATATATTTACATATGGATTAATATTTTTAATTAATAATTCAAACTTAAATTAAAATTTGAATTTGTTATTTTATATTTCACTGATTTTGATTTAAATATATCTATACTCGATTTAAAATATGTTTATATTTCTATATAAATATTAGAGAAATTAAGTGATTATTTGAAAAAATTTAGTTGAAATTTAGATTCAATTTATTAAATTTTAGTTAAATTAAGTTATTCGGATTGTTAACAAATTTAAATATGGATCATGAAAATAAAATTCATTAAATAATCGAATCAAATTTTTAAAATTAAATTCAAATTTTAATCATTCAAAATTCAATCTAAATTCGATGCGTTGATAAGTCTAGTCACTGTTATGTAATTCTATATGGATTGTTAAGTATTTAAAATTTTAAATATTCAAACAATACTTATTTAATAAAAATGTTTATAAAAAAACACTTTTAATAAAAATTTATTAAAAAAATATTTTTTAAATTTAATAAGTCATCCCAAACACACATCGTTAATCTCATTGTGCCTTTGAAGAATGTGACGAGAGATTGGGAGAGAAAAAACAAATTTGTCACATACATGTGATGTGGTAAACGAGTTTGAACCCTCCGGATCCAATCCTCATGAAGATCTGCCTTCAGCCCAAAAAAAGTTGGTGAGGCTGGCTAGGCCCAACCTCCAAGTAAAGCTAGAGTTTTAGATGAATAATACACAACTAGTGAAGCCCACATACTTTATTATCCTCGTAATTACTCCATTTATGTAGAACAAGAGAACTGCCTGTGTCTCAGAGGATTAGTCGGGTACTTTAAGATGGTCGAGTAGCATTTAGTTATTAGTTAGAAAATGTCGATGCATATACCAACTTTACTAATGCCCCAAAAAATGACAGGCCCATTTTTTATTTTTTTTACGAAATATACATTTCCTTCTTGATAGCCTCATTACACCCTATAGTTACTTTTCTTGTCGATTCACTTGTGAGTAGCATGGTAAACAATCCGAGTTATTCGGGTTCTGCTTGAATTCAACTTGTTTGGAGTTTGAGTCGTGCTTAAACAATTTTTAAGCTCGTTTAAAAAATAGGTCATATAAATTCAAACTGTATTAGACTTGAATTCGCAAAATTCAACTTATTTTTATATAAAATAGATGAATTACTTGAGCTCGACTCCGATTCTGCTCATTTTGAACTTGACTTAATCTCGCTTGTTTAAAAAAAATGAGCCGAACTTAAACACTTTTAAGCTCGTTTTGAAAAATGAATTCGTCAGGTTTGAACTTGAACTCGTTCGTTCGACTCGTTTACCATACCTGCCTTTTAGATTTACAGTGAATGAATTCCAAGGAAATTAGTTTGGTCATGAAACCTCAAATATCAACCTTCTCCTCTCAAGTAGCAATCAAAATGTTAGGCAGGCTGAGGAATTTCTCATCATTTCAGAAGGAACTCATTACCTGTTTGGGCTTCCTTTCTCAAAATTATTTTTCATAGGCCCACAATAGAAAATGATAGATCTAGACCCATTACAAGGGTCATTGGAAAACACTCTGATATCAAAAAAAACTCGACACTTTACGCAAGGTATCAGAATTAATTCGAGTCACTAAACTATATCTTTACGTCAAAGTATAAAGACTTATCCCAAACCTTACGTATCATGCAAATGATGTGTTGCATAATATATATCGACAAAATACCCAAAATGCCATTGGCACCGTGCATTCACTGGACTTCACATCCTTAACCATCACTTACCCTATATTCCATCATAATATTTTATGATAAATCGTGAATTACTTCAATTATAATTTTATTACTAAATTGAATTATTCTTCTCACGTTATTTGTGATTTTTTACCGGCTACCTGAAAATCTTCACAATTATTAATGAGCTCCTGTATATGTACTTTTCCGGTTGTGCCCTACCAAATTTTCCATTTTACACTTTTACCACCCAATTCAACCGCTTTTCATCATGAGACGCGGCTTCACTCGGGTCGGCTAACCGAGCTTCTTTTTTCATAACTGTGTTTTTATTTTTATTTTGTTTCATAATGTTACCATTTAAAGTTAGAAAAATATGAAAAGAGGAGGGGAAATAGCAGTGGCAATTAGAATATTATTAGAAACTTTTTAGTTGGTTCATATTTGACTTATTTATAATCGAATATAACCCAGCTTGTATAGTTAAAACTAAAATTTTTGCTCTCAAATTTAATATAAGTTTTATACTAACTGTTTTGATTTAGGTGTTTTACTTTTTTCTCTCTATAAATGTGAAAATTATGTATATAATTTTTTGGCTAGGCAATCATATTTTGAATCTAAAAAGAAGGTGAATAATTTTGCCCAAAATATTAAGATTGTGTTTGGTTTTTAGAGAATAGGGGAATAAGGTCCAAAATTAAAAGAAAATAATAAATAAACTTAAAAAATTGATTTAAAAATTTGACTTAATGAATTACTACTATTGAATGGGCAGTGGGGTTCTAATAAATACTGAAATTCACAGTTAGTGTTTTAAAATCCGATCTAGCCCGATTGGGTTAACTTGGTGAATCGATGCCTAAACTCGAACCAGTTTAGCAACCAGATTCTTTGTGCATCAAACGCAGAATAAAACCCATTGAACTGGGTAAAAAATCGTTGAACCGTTCAACCTGGACGAGTTTAATGAAATCGGACGATTCATTTAGTTTAGTATAAATATCTGAGTTTTGGCCTTTTTTAGACATTTTGCCCTAAATAGTCTTTGTCTCTACCTCTTCGTTTTCGCTTGTGCCTCTTCGTCTTCGTGATAATGGACGTTAATATCACGTCCATCTCCAACGTGAGTTCCCAACCCTGCCTCTTCGCCTCTGCATCCTCTAGTCCTCTGTGCATTTGCCTATTTGTCTTTGCAACGGTAGATGTTATCATCATAACCATCTCCAACATGAATCTCCAATCATATCATCAAGTTTGATTTTTAAATTAATTTTTAAAATTTTTGTAACATTACTCAAAATTAAATTGATTTTGTCTGAAAGTTCACATTTTCCTCCTTTGGATTATTCAATATCTAAATGAACAACGGTAAAATAATAAACATGTATAGAATTAAAAAAAAAAGAAAAAGAAAAAATAGAGAGTCAATATTCAAGTGCGGGCCAATAACAGGAATGGGGCAATGTCGACGAGCCGGAGTTGGGTTGGGGGGTTAAGAGGCCAACTCAAACTTAACCTAAGTTAACAAAATTCTTGACTCAAGTCCAACACAAACTCAACCTTCAATATACCTCAATTCGACTATTGCCCGCTCAAGCTTGGTGTGATCCCAAATTATTAAATCAAGTTCAATTTTTGAGTTGGATTCATGTTCCTAAATGTTAATACCTTAAACTCTATTCCTATTAAACTCACAAAGGCCATTGAAAACCAAGTCCATTAGAGACACAAGACACATAGAGTTTGTCTTCTTTATATACAAAAGGAGAGAGATACCTTTTGTGTGTTGCAACTGATGTGAGATTCTAACTTAAACATCTACTTTTGTTCTTTATTCAACATCTTGCATCTGTTCAACAAGGGAACTTCCACTCACTTTAGTACTATAAAAGATTTTTGATGAGGGTGAGTAACACATTATTTTATTGCGTAGCATTTTATTTATATACTAGTAATAACACGTACCTGAAGGCACTAAGCAACTCAAAAAACCTCGATCACCGGTTATGCAATATAAATATTTCAAAAATATTTTATTTTTTTATTATTTTCTTTAGTTATACAAATCAAAATTAATTTAAAAACACTATTTTTTTAAAAATTTTGACAAAACTTCTTTGAAAACACGACCCCTAACAAATATCAATTTGTACACAATTTATATATTTAATTATTATTCCTAAAAAATATCTTCTTTTTTTTTGTAATAGTCGATATTGACATATGTGTGTTGGTGGGTGTATAGAGAGAGAGTTATATGAGAGATATGATAAACTTACGATAGATGAGAATATGATATAGAGAGAGATTAGGGTATTAATGGGTATTAGATATATATATATAGTCGTCCAAGCCAAACTCTCAGAAGATAAAATTATATGAGAAATGAGAGTGTGTGTAAGAAAAAGAGATGTAAAAGAAATAAAATTTCAATTAGAATCATATAGATATAGATAGATAGATAGATATAAGATGACATACTTGGACAGAGTTACACAGGGGCGAGAGTGAACACGAGTCCATCCTCAATTTTTTTATAAAAAATATGATATATATATATATATATAGGATGACATACTTGGACAGAGTTACACAGGGGCGAAAGTGAACACGGGCTCATCCTCAATTTTTTTATAAAAAATATGATATATATATATTCTAAAAGTTATACACATATATATAATTATTTAGTCTTTTTTATTATAATATGACTTTCTTCAGATGACCTTCATTTTATTATGAATTTTTGCAAATGAAAGTACTTTCAATTGATCTTCATTTGATTTTGTTTTTTTTTACGAAAAATTATCTTTTATTTTTATTTGAGTATTGATTATATCCTTTATTATGTGTCAATTGATTTTTAATTTTTTTACTATGTCTCATAGATTTTAGTTTAATAGTTTTATTATACTAATATTTTAGTAATAATGTTTAAAACATCGTTTATTGAATAAATTTAATAGATGGTTAGTGAATAATTGATATTTTTTAATTATAAAAATGACAATTAGCTTCACTTTTTACATTGGTGATAATTAGTTA